AGCGGTAATGGTGGTGTTGTGTAGCCAGCACTTACTTAGGCTGCCTCACATCGGTAAAACAACAAGGCTTGGCATTCAGAAATGTTCTGTCTGTGAGTAGTATCTGAAAGATGCTAGATAAGCTTAAGGCTGGGCAGGCTAGAGAGCTTTCACTGTTCTTGCAGGAAACCTGGGTTCAAGTCCCAATACCCATATAACCTCTGCAACTCCTGCTCTGGGAAAATTGATGATTTTTCTGACCTCACAGGCTCCTGAATGCACATGGTGTACATACATACACTCTTGGGCACACACAAATACATATAAAATAAATACTTCTTTAAAGTAAGGCTGGAATTTCTTCATGTATGTTATACTTTGAAATTCTATTGAAAGTTGAAATAAATATATAAACTTGAAATTATAAGAAATACTGATCTAAGCGTTTCCTTTTTCTGATGTAATGATCTTTTTAAATCTCTGTGTATGTGGGGTGTGGGTCTGAATGTGGACACTGAACATGCCATGGCATACATGTGGAGGTCAGAGGTAACCTCAGGTGTCCGTGTCTATCATCCTCCTTGTTTGAGACAGGGTCTGTTTTTGTTTACTACGCAAACACTAGCCGATCTGGCCTTCTGGAATCTCTACCGCTGTCTCACCAAAGATCACTGATTGCACATCACTGCGTCCACGGGCCCTGGCGATTCGAACCCAGGTTCTCATGCTTGCATGGCAAGCACCTTATGCACTGAGCCCTGTCAAAAGCCGCTGGCATAATGATTTAATGTATAAACTTTCCTTTTAGGGGTTCTTGAACTATGTCCCACAAGTTTTGTTTTGATGCACTTCCAATGTGCTCAATGTTTATTAGAAAATTTCCTTAAGATTTCCTTTCAAAACTCATGTTACAGTGCCTTAAAAATTGCATTAAAAAACACATGTAATTTAAAATTCTCTTTGATAGTGCCATGTTTCTGTCTAAAAACCTTATGCCACCAAGCATTGCATTTGTGCAGTGATGTGTGTATGTGTGCATGCATGCATGTGTGCGTGCCTTTACCATCTGAGCTAACTTACCAGCTCTTATGCATTTCTTTTAACAAAACTGAGATCATATCAAAATTTTGCTATTTAAATCTCATATTAGGACAGCAAAATGGCTCAAGAGCAAGCCTGGTGACCTGAGTCCAATCCCCAGGATCCTCATGGCTGGAGAGAACCGACTACTGCAAGTTGTCCTCTGACCTCACAAGCAGACACACAAACACATATGCTAAATATTTTTTTTTAAACCCACTTAGTGAATGGCTTCCATCCATCAGATCAACACCTGACTGGGAGTTACCTGGTAAGCACAGATACTCTGGTTTTCGGGCACATGAACACTTGATCGTCCTTCATAGGTATGGGAGGAGCCAAAGGGTCTGTGTTTCTGTACACTTACAGGTACTGCTCACTAGTAGAAACAGTCTAGACTCTGGGATGAAAGGGGAGAGCTTTGAATGGTTACATAGAGGAGTGACTTAGGAACACAGTCAATAACTCGTGCAGAGTCTTATTCCCTCTGGATGTTAGGGAGGAGAAAGTTGGGGTAAACTGAGGGGTGGAGAGTGGAGGACACTGGCACACTAGGGATAAATGGACCCATAGGCTAGAGAACTTAGGGACGCTGTCAGTTAAAATAAGAAAACAGGGCTGTGGGGGGGGGCGACACTGCAGTCATTGGACAAAGTGATGTCCAAGTCTATTTACTACGATGCAGTGTCTATAGTAAATACAGTGTTTTTTTTTTTAAGCTGTAGCATGTGTATGCATGCGTATACAAGCTACATGCTTATGGGGCCCATGGAAGCCAGAAGAGAGTGCCAGATCCCCTAGCGCTGGAGTCACAGGCAGTTGTGAGCCACCCAGCAAGAGTGCTGGAAACAAAACCTGTGTCCCCAGGAAGAACATCAAGCACTCTTGACTGCTGAGCCATCTTTCAGTCCCCTACGTGAGTTCTAACACTGGCTGAAAATCCGGTTGAGTGCTGCTGCCTAGGTCCTACCGAAATAAATTAGAACACTGGGACAGGGTGGTGGAGCATGTTATATCTGTCTGTCTAGCATCTACTTACCTTTTGCTTTTACTTTTTGAGACAAAATATGATTCTCCTGCCTCAGCCCACCCACGGCTTGGTCTTACATGTGTGAGTCATCATGCTTGGCTCAGAGATTTATATTCTGAAGTAGTGTAGCCATTGTATGATGGAGAAAGAACTCTACACCTCAGCTGTAAAGATTTAAAGCTTTAAGGAGGCCATTTGAAAACAATTTCAGATTTCGCACCTTCACACCCATTACCCAATTCTCCTGCCTTCCTAAACCCCACACCCTTAGATACCCTAGAACATGCACCCTCCCAACCCATCCCTGCTAGTCCATGCCCACTGCCTTCCTTGACCTCGTTCTTATTTAGGATTCTAGCACAGCCAGTAGCTCTCAAACTCAGGAATCCACACAGTCTTGGGATATTGTCCCCTAAAAACTGCTGTGTGTGGTGACCTCAGAAAATAATAACCACTAGCAAGTACCCATTCAGAGACAGTTTGCAAATGTGTTTAAGCTTCAATTTTATTTAAACCCTAGAACATGACAAAATAAGCCAAATAGTGTCCCTGGACATAGGCACTAAATAATTTTGTCCTCAAATTATTTTGTGTAGCTAGCCAAAGTGAGGAGGGGGTCATAGGAAAGAAAGGAAAACCCATTGACTTGAGAAGGACTTTTGGTACATTGTGCAATTCTTACTCATTTGAAATCTAATTTGAGACATAAATTGCTTTTCCCTACTTTGGACTGGTTTTCAGAAACGCCATGAAATGAACATTGTTCTCAACTTACTTCTGTTTGGAGAGCGTCCTTCCAAGAACAAAACAGTGAGGAAGTCTTTGGATTCACTTTTCATGTTTCTGTGAGTGCCTTTAGCAAATGTAAACTTCAGCTCATGAAATGGAAAGTGAAAAGGCCCCTGAGGGTGCCCAGGTCATGGACACCACAAAATAGCCTCTATTACATGGAGTTTTTTTTTTCAATTTTGAAAAATAGACAAAAAAAAAGGAAAGAACCTACACACAGCCAAAATACATGTTCAGTTTTGTTTACTTTACCTGCCCCTTTAAGAGAGAGTGAGGGCCTGATAGGGTGAAGATTTTTCTCTTGGGCGCTTTGCACCTCTCTGCTTAAAACTGGTTTGAAGAAGGCAAAAATATTGTTCTACATAAACAAAGCAGCGGGTCTTCTATCTAGAATGTCAATGGCTGGCAAATTCCTTCATGTGTTTATTACAGAAATATATATATGGAGAACCTATTACCTGTGGACCGGGGCCTGGGCCTTTTCTGATCCAAATGAGCCTGTTCAGCATCACTGATGTCACAATGACCCCTGCCCTGACAGTCTAGCCAGCATCCTCCCTTCTCATCTCACTCCTCGTGACTTCACCCTCTTCCCAGGGCTGGGTGCGTCTTCCCCAACTTCCAAGGCACCCTGTCCTCCCCACTTACTTTCTGTCCTGCTGGCCATGGTCATCCCTATTAGACTCAGAATATATGAGCTCTGATTCCCTGTAAGGTGAGAGCTGTATTCGGGACAGACAAACCCTTCTGGCTTTGTCCTCCACCGTCCTTCAGGACCAGATGGATGGACGACGTTCCACCCCCAGCCTCACCTAGACATTCCAATAAAAAGGAAACAGAAGAACTAAGAGGTAGAAGGAGGAAGACCTAAAACCTCTCACGGAGATGGCAAAACATTCCTCAAGATTCCTAGCAGGCTGCAGATTCCCTTTCTTAACACAGTTGTATGGCAAGCTTGGCTCCCCGAGCTGTACAACATATTGGGAAACATATCTTTTTCGCTGGTCACATGCCACCCTGCATAAACAGAGTTATGGAGTGTAGAGAAAGGCAGACCATGAGTCAGGCCAACAACAGTCTTCCCTGTTAACTCTCACAGATCTTGTCAGTCTCTCCCCCCAAACACTTCAACAGCATGCCTTCCCCTCCACCACCGGATCCTGGCGTGAGCCATGGTGAGGCACCATGGTCTCTCACCCTGCATGCCTTCTCCTCCCTCATGGCATCCTGGCTTGAGCCATGGTGAGGCACCACGGTCTTTCACCCAGACACAGCAGAGCCTCCTTCACAATCGCTCTCTGTAGTCTCGCCTTCCCTGGTACCTTGAATCCTCGCTTCATTTCTTCCAAGTCTCCCAATTATCTGTCACAGTTTAGATCCCCAGAAGCTGACCTGTAGTCAAGGATTCTTGCTCAGGTCATTTATTTTAGGCGCAGCAAATAAGTTGGAGTACTGTAGTAAGACACAGGGAAGGGAGCAAGTTTCCTCAAGGCCCCATACCGTTTAACCCTAGGGAAAGCTGTGGGACTAGTATCCGGTATAAAACTTAACTGAGTCCCAGAGGTGTGGGAGGGTATTTACACAGCAACTCCTAAGACTGGCTGTATTCAGCTCTTACAGCTTGATCACCTAGTCCTGAATCCACCCACCCCAGTCTAACTTACTGAAGGCCAGTCTTTCTCTTTACCGGTCTTTCTTTCTGCTGGCAGCACTTTGTGGCTTCTGCTATTTATTTGAACCACAATTAGCAGTCTACAGGGAGAGCCGAGTCATCCCTTCAGTGACAGAGGAATTGGAAAACACATTTTAAGAATGAGATCTTGGAAACTCATCAGCTTCGAGTCTCATTTCAAAAGTGAGTAAATTTGTGGGTGCTCTCTATTTGACAAATAAGTCATAACATTTTTTAATAACATCAGTAAAGTTTAAAGAGGGCATAGGATCTGGAATCTTTGTGTAAAGTCAGCACATCAAGGTAAATAGAACCTAATTAATGCTAGTAAGTGTACATATAGAACATCGACAAGTCAGACGTTGAGTCTCTAAATGGGAAGGCTAGAGGCTCACAGTAGGTATACAACTCTGGAGCTATTTCTGCCATTCACTGGCTCGCTAGTCATCTTTATTTGCCTTTCTTCTTCAGTTGTTCTACAAAGTAATCATTACAAGCGACTGTCAGCGCTGCCACCATGACCACAAATTCATTAAAATCCACTTCGTTGTCCTTATTGGCGTCCAGGTCCTGCATTATCTTGTCCACCAACTGGGGATCCTTTTGGCACTGAAAAGAAAAAGAAAATTTTGGAACCAAATAGAAGGCCCGGATATCAATCCACACATCTTCGAACACCTGATTTTTGACAAAGAAGCAAAAATATCAAATGGAAAAAAGAAAGCATATTTAACAAGTGGTGCTGGCATAAGTGACTATCAACATGTAGAAGAATGAAAATAGATCCATATCTATCACCATGCACAAAACTCAAGTCCAAATGGGTCAAAGACCTCAACATAAAGCCAGCCACACTGAACCTTATAGAAGATAAAGTGGGAAGTACACTTGAACATAATGGCACAGGGAACTACTTCCTAAATATAACCCCAGAAACATAGACACTGAGAGGAACAATTAATAAATGGGACCTCCTGAAACTGAAAAGTTTCTATAAAGCAAAGGACATAGTCAACAAGACAAAATGACAGCCTACAGATGGGAAAAGATCTTCACTAACTCCACAGGCAGAAGTCTGATCTCCAAAATATACAAAGAACTCAAGAAATTGAACATCAAAAGAACACATAATCCAATTTTAAAAAGTGGAGTACAGACCTAAACAGAGAATTCTCAACAGAGGAATCTAAAATGGCTGAAAGACACTTAAGGAAATGTTCAATATCCTTAGTCATCAGAGAAATGCAAATCAAAACAACTGAGATTCCATCTTACACTGGATGACAACTTATGTTGGTTGTGGGGAAAAGGGAACACTTCTACATTGCTGGTGGGAATGCAAACTGGTACAACCCCTTTGGATGTCAGTATGGCGATTTCTCAGAAAATTAGGAAACAACCTTCTGCAAGACCCAGTAATACCACTTTTGGGTATATATCCAAAGGATGCTCAATTGTACCACAAGGACATGTGCTCAACTATGTTCATAGCAGCTTTGTTTGTCATAGCCAGAACCTGGAAACAACCTAAATGTCCCTTGATAGAAGAATGAATAAGGAAAATGTGGTAAATTTACAATGGAGTACACAGCAGAAAAAAATAACGACAGCTTGAATTTTTCAGGAAAATGGATGGATCTAGAAAACATTATTTTGAGTGAGGTTACCCAGACACAGAAAGACAATTGTCACATGTACTCACTCATAGGTGGTTTTTAAACATAAAGCAAAGAAAATCAGCCTACAAACCACAATCCCAGAGAACTTAGACAACAACGTAGACACTAAGAGAGACTTACATAGATGTAATATACATGGGAAGTAGGAAGTAGGAAAAAGACAAGATCTCTTGAGTAAACTGGGAGTGTGGGGGTCACGGTAGAGGGTTGAAGAGGAACGGACAAAAAGACATAGCTCAATAAAAACTATGTTATGTCTTTTCAGTGCATACCGTGTGCCAATTAAGATGCTCACCATGTGTATTTATTGAAATTTGCAGTCTATGTTGTCAGATAGAGAAAGGAAATAATAGGAGATTTTCTAGAGTGACCCTCTTACAAGCATACCTACACATGTGTACGTTACAGACTCTCCTCTTACAAACATACCTACACATGTGTACGTTACAGAATCAGAAAGACTGCCTACAGGCTGACAACATTTCTCTCTGGGAGGTGAGATTCGGAGCAATCATATTTTCTTTCTGCATTTCTGTGATTTCTGACTTTTTCACGAGGAGCATGTAGAATCTGTATAATTTTTTCAGGGAATTGACATTGACATTGACAATATATATTAAATGAAAAACATTTTATAAAACAGCATGTATAGCATGATACAATATTTGTAAAAAAGAAAATCACATATAAACATATCTGTGTGTGTGAGAGAGATGTGTGTATGCATAAGAAAGCTAGAAGGCCATAGACTACAATGTTAATAGCCATTATCCACAGGTAGTGGGATTACAGGTGATTATTTTTCTTTTTTCTTTCCTGTGTTTTCTAATTTTTCTACAATGAACAAGTATTACTTATGTAATAAAAACTAATAATAAAAGTTTAAAAAATAAAAAATAAATACATTTTAATTTCAGATAAACAACATGTATTGTGTGTGTGTGCTTCTGAAATACACAAAAAAGTACCCAGAAGCCATTTTCCTTACTGCTAGAGTTATGTTCTCCAAGTGTTGACAATTACATCGAGTTTTTTTTTTAATCCAATATTCAATATTCTAGTACAGCAATAAAATATATAGCTAGTTATACCCAGGGTTATCGTTATATGTTTAATAATGGTAGCTGTACCTGGAACTTATTCAGCAGAGAGGAAAACGGCCCCTGCCAGTGTATGAAGAAAACACAGATCTCCAGGGCTCTTCCCAGCACTTAGGGTCTTGAAACAAGTTCTAAACATAGACACAGCACTTGTCCCCAAAGCCATAGCCCACCTGTGCACCAGCTATGAGGCAGGAAAACGGGCTCACCGTGAGGAATTCTGTGAGCTCCCTCTGTAATAGCATCTTTAGTTCTCCTTTGTTGAGCTTGAACCTGTCCCCCTCTTTGCAGGAGTACCGGTGGAAGATTCGAATCATCGTGTCCATGGCCATCTCCAGCTGGGTGGGCATGCTGGCAGCAGAGCGGATTACTCCTGCAGCAGGCAGCCAAAGCAGGGAGAAGGAAGCAGATAGGGAGACACGTCAACTCTTTCCTGGAAACAGAACACATACGTGGCAGTTCTTAAGCTGTAAGAATTGTTCACTAAAGACAGTGTTCCGTGCATCCCAGAGCATCCACTAAAAACAGTGCCCCGTGCATCCCAGAGCATCCACTAAAGACAGTGCCCCGTGCATCCCAGAGCGTCCACTAAAGACAGTGCCCCGTGCATCCCAGAGCGTCCACTAAAGACAGTGCTCCGTGCATCCCAGAGCATCCACTAAAGACAGTGCCCCGTGCATCCCAGAGCATCCACTAAAGACAGTGCCCCGTGCATCCCAGAGCATCCACTAAAGACAGTGCTCCGTGCATCCTAGAGCAAGCTGCGAATGAGAACTTTGCAGACGGGTTTCCCCCTTCCCAGTTCCCACTCTTCCAATTTGTGTGCCTCTGGCAGTTCATAAGTTAGCAACTAGACGGGCCCAGAGTCCTGTTAGAACACAGAATTGAAAACCTAAAGCAAAAGAGAAAGACAATCCCTTACTTCCTACCCGTTCCGCAGGAGGCAGCTGTCTACAGGTGCTCACGGTTACAATCTGAGCGCTGGTCGCTGAGTTTCCACTTGGCACACCTGTTCCCAACAAATGGCAATTATCCGAGACAAGAGACTCAACTGGAGCGGCCTCTGCGTCTGTTTATTTAATCAGCAGAACGAACAGGTGTGTGCTGCTGCCCCAAGGGCTATGGAGGAAGGTGGGTGCCCGCCGGGCCTTAGGGAAGACAGCAGAGTGCGATGGGAAAGCCCTCTGTTCTGCTGGGGGAATATGGGTAAAAGTAGAAGCATATTGCTAGGAAGTTGATGACAAGGATAGAGTCTAAAAGGAGCAAAGAGGAAATACTGGTTCAAAGTGTGTGTGTGTGTGTGTGTGTGTGTGTGTGTGTGCGCATGTGCGCGCGCGAGCTCACATGCTCACACACACTCAAACTTGCGTCTGCCTAATGAACTGCTGGGGACCCAGCTAGTATCTGGACAGCATTGTAAGTGACAAGGTGGTTGAGCATGAGTCTCCCTGGCTTGTCCAGTTACCGCTGATTTTAGCCTTATGGAGTATAAGAACGCATTACCTGCCGTCTGTGAATGACAGAAAAACTGAAGCTGTGTATGCAGGAATGTATAGGCGGATTCCCAGGTTAAAAAAAAAAAAAAAAAAAAACTTAAGGAAAGGATGCTGGGGCAATGGCTCACAAGTGCTCGAGTTGGATCCCTACCGGCACATGAAAAGTCAGGTGTGGCGTCCAGAGGAACCTTATCTTGAAGAAAATCTTACTGCTATTTTTCCTGGAGTGTATTAAATTCAAAAACCACAGATACCGCTGGTCTCTGCTTGAGGTTCAGTCTCCTGCTAAAACTGCCCCCAGAGTTTGTGGCCATGTTTCCTCAATTTTGAATGCTCTGACCCACTCCAGCTCTGAAATGTTACCCCAGACTATTCTTGGGTGCGTCTGTAATTCTAAACCTAAACCTTTAGCCCAGATGTCTGCTAATCCCCAAGATGATCTGGGCCCCTTTTTCCTGGAGTCCCATAAACTTGATTAGGATCCGAATAAAAGGCCTACACTCTTCCCACTGTGGGAAGATGGCTTGGGCCATCTCAGTCTCCCACTGCCATTTTCCACCCCAGCTTCTGTCACCTTTTAAATGCCCACTCCTTGCCATTCTTTGCCACCTTCAGACCTGGGGCACTAGGCTCCTCACAGCACTCTGGGCTGGCTGTTGGGGCTCCTGCTGTCTGATAACCATTCTGCTGTCGGAGGAGTTAATCACAATACTGCCAGCACCCACATGTCTGGGCACTAATGGGTCTGGCCCTGTGTGCACACAGATGGAAGTGTTGAGCTCTCCTGCCTTGGCTGCTCCCACTACTCATTGGCTGAATGCGAATATTTCCTCCTATACAATTTTCCTGCATTCTTCCCAACTCCCTACCCTGACAGGGGAGCTTTGGGGACATTCCTGTGATCCTTGTCACACACTCTCCACACTTGGAATGATTTCTTGAATCTTGGACTCCATGCCTGGTCCATCTTTGCAGTCCACGGCATTATTGCAAGACTGGGCACTGGGAAACGCTCAGAGCCCCTTGCTTGTGGTAGATACCTGTGATTCACGCACTTGGGAAGCTGAGGCAGGGAGTTGGCAAACTCAAGGTCAACCTGAGACACACAGACGCATAGTGAATTTAAGACAAGCCTGGCCTACAAAATGATTCCTGTTTAGAATGGGGATCAGGAGAGAAGGACAGAGAGAGAGGATTGCAGGAGGGGTGCGTGGAGGACCAGTCATGATAGACGGACAATGAACTAGGGGAGGGGTCTGTGGCTAGCTCACCTGTACTTTTATTTAATTACTTTTATTCTGCGTTAAAAACTTTGTTCATCAAAAGGAGAGGGGGTTATTTGGATGAAATGCAGTTTGAATTTGGAATTGAATGTTACTGGGCTAAGCACTGAAGTCACATATGCATAAAAATAATTTGTATGGAGTTCACGGGCCTCAACAGTATTGTATTCAACTACAAAACCATCTATTTGGAGAAGTCAAGGGACAGGTATAACTTCTAAAAGAGCCCTAAAAGAGCCAGGCAGTGGTGGTGCATGTCCTTAATCCCAGCACTTGGGAGGCAGAGGCAGAAGGTCTCTGTGAATTCAAGGCCAGCCTGGTGTACAGAGAGAGCTCCAGGACGGTCAAGGTTACACTGAAACTGTCTCAAAAAACAAACAAACAAACAAAACAAAACAAGAAAAAAAAACTAATAAGAAAGACAGCATAGGTTAAAATGCTACAGTTAGATTTAAGAGCTGAGAGTTTGGCTCCTCCAAAGTCTGGCAGATTCCTGTTTTCTCAGGCTGGCTCAGACCTAAAGGTTTTCTTTGGTGTGTGCTGCCCCTTAGTGTCACACTCTGGAACTGCATCTGGGAGCACTCTCGCCGAATATACTTTGGATTTGAGCCCATAAAATAAGTGACCTTAGCGGGGTCTTATAAAGTAGCCCTGGCCTGAGATCTCCAGAAGACACTCAGGAACAGGAACAAAGGCAACATCACAGGTTCAATGAGACTCTGTCACCCTAGAAACACAGATGCACTGCTGACAGCTGCCCAGAAGGGCTGCCCTGTGTACTTCGCTTGTTGACTCAGCTTGTATCCTTTTCACATGGCATGACACATGACTCTCAGAGCTAAAAAGACTCTCTAACTTTGCATCCAAATTAGAGTACAAAGAATGAGGAAGTGGAAAGAAGTAGAGAGGTTTAAAAGCAGGTCTCCTGGGGAGAGAGGGAGGCTAGCGAAAACCCACAAACATGAGACTTTTTAAAATTCTTTTTGTTTGTTCATTTGTTTAATGTGTATGGGTGTTTTGCCTGCATGTATGTCTGTGTACTGCTTACATACTGGGTGCCTACTGAGGCCAGGAGGCCAAAAGAGTGTTGGATCCCCTGGAACTGGAGTTACAGACAGTTGTGAGCCACCATGTGGGTGCTAGGACCTGAACTGGGCCTCAGCAAGAGCAGCCAGCGCTCTTAACTGCTGAGTCAAATCTCCAGGCTAGAGAATTCCTTCTTAGTACATGCTTCAAAGTGAACCAAACAAGAGAAAGGAGGAACTAGAGAAATGAGTACGGGCTGCTCAATCGTCAGGATTAGAGTTTGGATCCTAGCACGGAATCAAGTGAGCATCCCCACACATCTGTCACTCCAGCTCTGAGGGGTCCGATGACCTCTTCTGGTTTCCATGCTTAAAGGTGGACACACACACACACACACACACACACACACACACCAGGAAGCCCTGTCAGCATGAGGAAGAAGCTAACAAAATTGAATCATTTTACCCAAGATGAACTAACATACGGACACTGACTGTATGGAGGATTATTAAGAGAGGAGAAACTGACCACTGGTTTATTGTGTGTCATTAGTACGACCAGATGTGTAGCAGGCTTTCTCTGACTGTCAGCCCCCAAATCACGACATGGAGGCTTATTATTAGTTATGAATACTAGGCCTTAGCTTAGGTTCTTTTCTTGTTAGCTCTTATCACTTAATTTAACCTGTTTCTCTTCATCTATGTTTTGCCTCGGAGCTTTTTACTTTTCTTTCTTTTTGTGTGTCCTAGTCTGTGTCTGTCTGCCTGGCAGTTGCCTTCCCAGCTGGCCCTGAGTAGCTCCCTTTTTTTTCTCCCTCGTTCTCTCCTCTACAGCCTAGATTCCTCTTCCTACTTACTCTCTCTGCCCACCAGCCCTGTCTATCCCTCCACTGCCTAGCTATTGGCCATTCAGCTTTTTGTTAGATCATCTGGGTGCCTTAGGCAGACAAAGTAAAGCAGCAGCTCAATCCTTCCATACACAACTGCAGCATAAACAAATGTAACACATCTTTGCATAATTAAAGTAATGCTCCACAACACAGAGGAGGAAGAACTTCTAAGATACCAAAGAAGGGCTGGATAGATGGCTCAGCGTTAAGAGCGCTGACTGCTTTTGCAGAGGACCTACTTTTGGTCCTAGAACCCACATGGTGACTCACAATGGTCTGTAACTTCAGTTCCAGGAGACCACACCCCTGTTCCAGCACCAAGGGCATCAGGTACAGTCATGCTCCTGCATACCTACAGGCAAAACACTCATAAAATAAAAATAAATAAATCTTTAAAAGTATGTATACACATTAAAGAAATCTAAAAATCCCTTAACAAAGGCTGTTAAGCATCATAACAGTGACTAGAAGATCGTCTATGAGATTATATTAAAATAATTATCTTAAAATAATGGAAGACTTTTATACAAACGACTAGCACATAGAACACAGGCACTTTCTGTCAAAGTGTATTCCCAGGCTAGAGGGAGTAGATAAATCTTGATCCAAACCTCAACCAACTACACTGGCCACGTGGCCTGGTGAGTGGTAGTCAG